TCCTTCTTTCATAGATCCCGAGGTCCCCTTCAGCTGGTCGGAGGAAGAAATTTCTGACCTGTACAATCACACCACCGTGCTGTTTGCAGCTGAAGGTAAGAAGCTTCCTCTCCATCATGCCTATCCTCTGTCATTACACATAGTCCAGGGCGGTGTCCCCTCGCCTCTCCTGAGTGCTCTGCATTTCAGGAGGACCTTCCCAGGGTGTTCTACCCGACCTGCAACAGGTTTACTTCTGAGACACGTTGCTGCTCTGTGTGGACAAGGATTCCCTCTGGAGTGTCCGTGTGGGTCCCTTGGAAAAGTAGATCTCTCCGGTATTTGCAGCTCTCCCCAGTACTTTCTCTTCCTGCAGTGTTTTATGATGACGACTTGACTGATGCTGTATTCAGAACACTCTCCCGACTCGCCCACAGATTTAAAAATGCCTGCACTGCTATTCTGTCAGTGGAGAAGAGGTGAGCTCTGCACCCTGGGGCCCGTGGGCCGGGGTATCAGCCACATGCTCCCCTCTGAACATGTCCTCCTCTGTGTTGTCATCAGCACTCACTACCACTCACCGAGCACGTGCTGGTCCCTCACACACATATCACCTCTCTTAGTCCTCATGCTAACCTGGGCAGGTGCTGCCGACCCAGTTTACAAAAGAAGGCAGGAAGGCTGTGGGACCTCAGGGTCATGCCGGGGCACAGATGTTAGGGGTAGTCGGGGATGTGGGTCTGGCTGCATCCCTGAGCCTCAGACTTGGCCACCACTCTCCACAGAAAGCCTCTCTTCCTGTGAACATTCTCTCTAGGGGCCGTTAGCCCTTCAGCTCCCCCAGGTTCCTTCTTGCTGATACAGATGGATTTGGTGCTCATTTCTCTCTGTTTCTTTCTTTTCTTTTCTTTTTTCTTTCTTTTTTTTTTTTTTGAGACAGAGCCTCAAGCTGTCCCCCTGGGTAGAGTGCTGTGGCATCGCAGCTCACAGCAACCTCCAACTCCTGGGCTCAAGCGATTCTCTTGCCTCAGCCTCCCAGGTAGCTGGGACCACAGGCGCTCACCACAACGCCTGGCCATTTTTTGGTTGCAGCCAGTCATTGTTGTTTGGCAGCCCGGGCTGGATTTGAACCTGCCAGCTCAGGTGTATGTGGCTGGCACCCTAGCCACTTGAGCCACAGGCTCCGAGCCATCTTTTCTTTTTCTTTTTTGAGACACAAAGTCTCAATCTGTCACCCTGTGTAGAGTGCCATGGCATAATCATAGCTCACCACAACCTCAAACTCCTGGGCTCAAGCTATCCTCCTGTGTCAGCCTCCTGAGTAGCTGGGACTACAGGCACCCACCACAACATCTGGCTAAGTGTTGTATTTTTAGTAGAGACAGGGTTTTGCTCATGCTCTGGCTGGTCTCAAACTGCTGAGCTTCAGGGATCCTCCTGCCTCAGCCTCCCAGAGTGCTGGAATTACAAGCACGGGCCCCCACACCCGGCCTGTGCTCATCACCCAACAGCCCCTCCAGGTGTTTCTACTTCAACTTGTGAAAATGCTAATGGCTCCATTTATT